CCATCCTTCAGCCCGCAGTTGCTTCAGAATCCATCCTGCAGCTCACAGCTAGCACGCAAGCAGTAATACAGATCCAGCGTCAGCAGAGCTAAGGTGATATTCTCCACTGCCAGATGACTTGCGTAGCAAACTCGGAGCCCGACAACCTGGTTTATGAGACCCCCCGGGGGGAGGGAGGAGGGGAAACAGGGTCACAGGGGCCTGTGAATGATGTAGGCCAGAGTTGGCTTCACACAGGGCAGGGCCAGTATGTCGCCTCTAATGAATCCTTTGAAGTGTTTTGAACTTTGGCTCGAGAATCATGATTGAATTAGGGCGATCGCTGGAATCCTGACAGTATGGTTTATTCTCCAGTCCCCCTAATCATCTTCGTTGCTCTTCTCGGCATCCTTTCTAGAGTCTCAACATCTTTTTTTTTTTTAATTGTGGTGACCAAAACTGGATTCCATATGTGGCCTCAGTGATGCCCTATAAAGCGGTACAAGCATTTCATGTAAAAACATCTTATGCGCCAAATGTTAATATCTTGTTATAGGGAAGAAAATGTTCTACAGAGTTCCCGGAAACGAATCGATCCAGCTTTAGCAGACGGAAAACATGGATCTTCCTCGGGTTATTCTGGCTGAAAAGGTGGAAGGTGTTTTGTGGGGGGAAAAATTCCCTTCTACCTCTCAGAGAACTGAAGATTGTCCTCCGGGTCTCGATACTACAACTCCCAGAGTTCCCCCAGACAGCACAGCTACCGCTAAGAATTCTAGGAACTGAAGATTGTCCTCCGGGTCTGGATACTACAACTCCCAGAGTCCCTCAGGCATCTGGGTACTACAACTCCCAGAGTTCCCCAGACAGCACAGCTACCACTGAGAATTCTAGGAACTGAAGATTGTCCTCCGGGTCTGGATACTACAACTCCCAGAGTCCCTCAGGCATCTGGGTACTACAACTCCCAGAGTTCCTCAGGCATCTGGGTACTACAACTCCCAGAGTTCCCCAGACAGCACAGCTACCACTGAGAATTCTAGGAACTGAAGATTGTCCTCCGGGTCTGGATACTACAACTCCCAGAGTTCCCCAGCCAAGACAACCCCTTCTGAGAATTCTAAGGAGCCAAAGATTGTCCTTCAGGTCTGCAAATTACAATCAATCAAAGCTTGATTAGTCACAGACCAGTTGTGTAGTTGTGAAGCTTGATTAGTCACAGACCAGTTGTGTAGTTGTGAACTACAACTCCCAGGTTTTCCCAACCAGCACAGCCGCTGCTGAGAATTTTGGGAGCTGGAGACTGCCCTTCAAATCTGAACACACAATCTTTTAATTTCTGAGCCAAAACTTTAGCAGTTCCTATTTTGTTTTAATCAGCTGTAAGGCAAATAAATTACTATTTTTAAAAGGAATAAACCTCTCTCTCTCTCTCTCTCTCCCTCTCTCTTTTCCTGGGAAGCTAGCTGGGGAAATTCCTTTAAGATCCCTAACCTTGGGACTTTTACAAAAGGAAATAGATAGTTTCATGCGCTCACTTTCATTTTTGAGTTTTGCAATATTCACTTTTAATTTCCAAAGGTCAAATAAACCCACAGTTGTTTTTAAAAAAGCTTCATTTTCTGGTTGCAAAATAGCACCATCTACTGGCTTTAAATAAGGAATTTGCAAACTTTTTTTTTTTTTAAAAAAAAAGTTTAAGACCTGCTAATGATTGGATCCCAAACTAGTTCTCCATTTATGACCAGAACTGGGACCAGAATTTTCATCGCTAAGCAAAGCAGCTGCTAAGCAAGTCATGCACAATTTTACCTCTTTTCTTGCCACGGTTGTTAAGTGAACTACTACAATTGTTAAGTGAATAACTACAGTTGTTAAACGAATATTGTTTGCTTGTCGGAAAACAGTTGAAAAGATCGCAAAGGGTGATCCTATGGCCCTGAGACACCTAACCTGTTCTCACCAAGGCTTCCGAGACCGTAATTACGCACACGCTTAATTAAAACAACTCTTGTTTTATTTCAACGCTGGGAATTATGTTCATTCCCAGCCGGGAATGAGTCCCAAACAGTCCCTCGAGATAAGCACCCACCTTTCTCTCCTTCGAATTGCTGCCAACAACAAAAGTGCCAAATGAACTGAAAAAGAAGCCAACCAAAGTACAAAGTCGACACAGAGCTTCATCTGAACAGAATGAACTACTTTGCTTCCTGCAAAGGTTTCTTCACCTTTGCCTGTCCTTTATACCATATGGGAGGGGCCAATCACCTCCCAGCCTTACTCCCAAGTTTCCCCTTTTGTCCCAGCTGCTCTTGCCTTCCAGCAGCTCTGCGCACACACACACTGGGAACAGGCTCCCCTTGTTCCTCTGCCTCGCTGCTGCCAGACTCCAGAGGCTCCGGAGACAGCACACGACTCCCAGATGGTCCTGGCCCCATCTCTGCATTGGACGCAGGACCCTCGTCCGAGTCCTCTCCAGACTCCCGGACTGGTCCCTGTTCTACCCCACTGTCCAATTCCGCTGCCATCTGCACAGGCTGCCGGAGACCCACAACACAAACATGACAAATACATATGACTATTGCAAAAAACCCGGGACATTCATATGGGCCATTTTACAACCATTATGAACTTTAATAAGCAGGCACCTTTATGGTCCTAACTCGAGGACCACCTGTACAGACTTTACACCCTGCATCTTGGGTTTTTGAACCATGTCCTGCAGATGTTCTTCAAAGGAAGGTAGACTAAAATCCAGAAGTTCTTTCAGAAAAAAAATGATACACCGAAATATGAATCTGGAAACGGACTGGAATAGCTCTTAAACGTAAAGTCTGAAGCTGTTTTGTTTGCTGGCCAATATTTTCAGTTGGTTCTGTTTCGCTGGGGTGATATCAGTGGATTTTAACCTAGGGAGAAAAAGCAGAAAGCTGACTTTGAAATTTTTTTATTTTTTTATAGAGGCATGATCTAGAGAGTGTTTGAACAAACTGCATCCCTGTTTGGTTTGGTGGCAGCAGTGCCTCAGATAGAAAGTCCATAAAGAGAGTGGTGAGGACAATGGAGATGATAGGAAGAGTGGTCAGGACAATGGAGAAGATTATAGGAAGCTGGCTTCCCGTTATTCGGAATACTGCTTGTAAGTGCTATGTGCTTAGAGCTCAGAGCATCGTTAGAGACCCCACACACCCACTTCAGGGTCTGTTTCTGTTGCTCTCCTCTCGAGGAAGGGTTTCCAAGTCTATGTAGCAGGACTACTAGATTCTGGAACAGCTTTGTACATTAGGCCATCTGTCTTGTGAACTACATTCAAACTAGATTGTGAGGTTTCTCTGTGTCATATGTGTGTGGTCATATGTATAATGGTTATCTTTTGAGAGCTGAATGCAATGAAATTTCATTTTAATGTATGTTGATTAGCGTGCATTTGAAGGGACAATAAAGTTCTATTTTATTCTATTCTACTCTACTCTATTCTATTCTACTATTCTATTCTCTGTTCTATTTCTATTATCCTATCCTACCATATCCTATTCTAAATTCCATCCTATTCTAAATTCTATTCTAAATTCTATTCTAAATTCTATTCTAAATTCTGTTCTATTCCAACTACGAAGGTTGCAAAATTGTGGTAAGGTGACCACAGGGGTGGTACCACGGTTTGGCTCTCGTCGAGTAATGAAATTAATTAAATTTAATTAAGAATGAATTAATTTTGACTCAACGATTTAATTAGTTGTTTTAATTAGCAGTTGATTTCACGGATTGGTTTAATTAATGAACTCAAATCAAATCAAATCCAAGACGCATCAAAAGCTTGGAAGACAGACGTCCCAGCTCCAAAGGGGTTCGTTTTGGGCCCTTTCCTGGTTGATATTCTCTTGGATCCAGTGAAGCCCAACGCACTGAGAAACATCCGGTCAGTTTCCTCCACTAAGGGTAGCAAGAGTGAAAAAAACGTGACTTGCCTCGGCAGGATGGTTACCTTCAACCATCCTGTTGAGGTTGGGGTGGGACCAGTTGCTCCTTAGGCTATAGAGACACTTCCAAAATTCAAGAGCAACCTCTTTGGTCCTGTTAAGCACGTCGCCAGCTATCTTGTCCGCTCCTTTCTTTCCATCCGTCTTCTTCTCCAGCTGCGTGTACATCTAGGTTGCCAACCAACACGTGTGTGGGTTGAAAGTTGAAGTGTGATCTCATGTGAACGTTTAAAAAAAAACAACAGCTCCCAGATAAGTTTTGGGGTCTCTGAGACAAAACCCCACCTCATTGCGAGGCTCATGAAACATCCAGCAACTCCTATAAAGCTATACTGCAGCTAAGAGTGGAGGTTCTCAGTTATTTCTATGGCTCCTAGAAATTACCGAGAAATAGCCCTGTTTCAGGCCCAAGACCATATTTTGACTTTGAAAGATGACACTAATAGAGGAGAATATTGGTAGTCCTTGGTGCTTGGTGGTTTTCTTGCCGACGTTTCATGACCTAAACTGCATCTAAATCTACATTCAAAAGAGACAATCAACAAGCCCCAAAAGGAGGAAAAAGCAGGCCAGAATATCTTCCCCACCAGCTATCAACACCCAGATGGGCAGAGATGAACACCAAGCTAGAGAGGCGGTGTCAAGAAGCAAACAATTCCCCAGTCAAGGAATTGACAAACAAGAGCCCAACCAAATAACCTCCAAGACCACTTCCACTAACATTGACAAGGCAAACACTAGGATATAAATTGAGAACAAACCCCACTGATGTGCTGATGATGTTGCCTAGTTTGGTAATAAAATGTCTGCAAGAAAAGCACCAAGCTCAGAGAGCTCCATGGACCCCACAGTCCTCTTCCTCTTCCTCCTCCCCTCCTTCTTCTCCACTCCACAATCCCCCTTCCCTTCTAGCACTGATGATGTTATCTAGTTTGGTAATGAAACATCTGCAAGAAAACAACCAAGCTCACAGAGCACCAAGGATCCCACAGTCCTCCTCTT